CACACAGACTCACACGGCGCCAGGGCCAGCGCTAGGAAGACACATTTAATCATTTGGAAGGGATCAAAAATCTCCAGTTCAGCCGCTGACCCAACGGAGCTCGGACAGCTCGGGCGAGTCGGCTGAAGTGTGTGAGGCCCGGGCTGCAAACCTCCGCCGACACCTGTAACCAATTCTAGCTCATACGCAGACACAGAGATTTGCCCGGGTGTTATCCCTTTAAATAGTCTGGGAGCCCTCTAGTGGTTTTCCTTGTCTTCTGCTGCAGAAGCCACCAGACCCTGCCAGAGAAGCAGTGGAGGTAATTAGCGAGACGCTCTACGTCTTCATCCAGCTGTTCGGAACTCAGCTCTCCCCGTGTGGTTTCCTTAATGTTGAATAAAGATCAACATGGGCATCACAGGGCTATAGTGGGTCAGACCAATGGTCCGTCTAGCCCAGTGTCCTGTGTCCTGACAGTGGCCAAAGCCAGGCACCCAAGAGGCAATGAACAGAACAGGTAATGATCAAGTGGTCCATCCCCTGTCACCCATACCCAGCTTCTGGCAAACAGAGGCTAGGGACACCACCCCTGCCCATCCTGGCTAATAGACATTGATGGACCTATTCACCATGAATTCATCTAATTTTTTTTAACCCTGGAGAAGAGTTACTTAGCTTGATTGTGCGTTGTGTGAAGAAATACTTCCTTGTGTTTGTTTTAAACCTGCTGCCTATCAATTTCATTGGGTGACCCCTAGTTCTTGTGTTATTAGGAGTAAATAACACTTCCCTATTTCCTTTCTCCGTGTGTATGTGGATCCTTCTAATCTCTCATACACTGTCTCTGTCTGTCTGTGTCTCTTTCTCTTTTCCCCGCACCCCGTGCTTGTGATCTTGGTTGTGATTTCCAAAGCTGCCTAAGGGAGTTAGGCACTCAAATCCCAATAAAACCCCTAAAGAAGTCAGACTCTCCTATCCTTTCACCACCTCTGAAATCCCCAGCCCCTCTCTGGCTCTGTTCCCCACCGATTCTTCATCTCTCACCTCCTTCCCACACACTTTTACTGATCTAGATCCTGGAGAGCTTGAAAAAATTGCGCTTTAACTTCCCTTCATTCTTTAAAGCAACAGATCTTCCGTTGCTCTAAGAGGGGTTTTCTTATGGTAAAAACTGATTTGCAATTGTTGGCTATGTTTGTTGCACGTTTTGTATCGATGCTTTCAAATAAATTGTGTACCCCTAAAAGAGTCGCAATGAATTTAAATAAACATTCAGGATCACATGTGTGACAAAGTGTAGGATTTTCTTGGTTTCTGTGGAGTTTCAGTGGTTTGCATGTGGAGAGGGTGGGACTCAGTTTCCCTGGGTGTTACTGGTTTAACGAGGTGAGGGGAGAGGGAGTGTGTTTTGCAGAGGCCCGAAGAGAGGATATGCGGACCCAGCCGGTGGCCGTGAGGATGGATACCCCAGCGACCGGGGACCTGGCGACCTGGTGACCCAGAGTCCCAGCTGAGGAGACGCAGCCGGTTCTGGCCAGTGGAAGGACAATGGGCTGCAGAGTGAGGACCCAGTGACCTAACCAGCCGGTTCCAGCCAGAGGGAGAAGCAGGAGAGGAGGCCCCGGTTTACGATCCTCTTTACCTGGAAGGAAGACAATGGACAGAGGCGGGGCCTGGGGCCGGTGATCTCAGATGCCCAGCTGGGAGCAGGGGGTCTCTGGGCTGGAGAGGGGAAGCAGGCAGAGCCCACCTGGATGCAGGGAGACTGGGATGTGCTGGGCTGAGGGAGGCCAGGCCTGAGGGTCAGAGAGTTTCCTGTGCTGTGTTCAACTCTCAATAAACCCTCCTGTTTTATGCTGGCTGAGAGTCACTCCGGTCTAGAGAACAGGGTTGCATCTACCCCTTCGGGGGTGGAGACCCTGGGGATCCAGAGCGAGTGGACTCCCTGAGGGGGCCCACAGCAGAGACAGACGTGCAAAGGCTCAGAGAGGTGCGGATCCAGGAGATGGAGGGGCCTGACCCCGAGAGAGAGTGGACCCCCGAGAAGGGCTGTCTCACTAAAAGGGGTACCCCCCACGGACAGCACGGGGCCAAGAGTGGGCACGATCTGTGAATCCGTGACAACATGTTGATTCTGTTGTGTTATTGGTTAGTGTTTGTTGCGAAGTGTTTGATAACTGATTTCTGAGTGTTGGGAATTGATTTGTGTGTAGTCCTTTGGGGGTTATTTGTCGTCATTTCCTATCGTCTATTGATTAGCTGCTTTGGTGATTACTTTGGGCTTTATTTGTTGCGTTGTTATTGTTGTTCTTGGGGTGTGTTTGCTTTTTTGTTGATTTGCTTTTCCTTTTGTTGTTGTTTTTCTCAAATTTCTGCACCGTTCAAGAGCAAAACAAGCCCTTCATCCCTTCCTGCTGCATTTCCCTCCCTGGGACTCTCTATCGGCCTGTATGGGCCCAGTTATTTTAAGATGCTCACTTTTTAAGCTGCTCCCGGGAGCGAAGGATCTCACTGACCTATCCCCGCCATGCCGCCATTCCCCCGAAATACCAGCTGTGACCTGGCGCCAGCGTGAGGGCGGGGAGGAAATAGGTTACGGTTTGAAAAGGAGGGTGGGGGGAAATATCATCACATCTCCAGTTCGCCCCCTGAGCTGCTAAAACCCCGAAATCTCTGGAAATGACAGGACCAGATCTGTCCACATCCCTGTAAATTACACTCCACCTCCCACCCACACGGCCTGACTGAGTCCGGATCTCTCTCTCTCTCCTTCCCTCGTGCATGCTCGTCTCTCTTCTCTGTCTCTCTCTGGGTGTGGCTTCTTGTCAGCCTCTCTAGCCTTTTCCTCACTAGTTACAAAACCAGGACTATTTGTAAACCGCGCATTAGCTAACACATGGTAACCTCTGACAGAGGAGGTCGTTTGTAGTTTTCACTTTACCTAGCTGTTAACCCCAGATTCCCCACAGTCTTTATGTCCACCCATTAATAAGAATGAAAACTACACACTTCCCTGTCCACACTAAAAATATCCCCTTCCCCACAGTTCTTCTCTCGCTTCACATATACACAACCCTCCCTTCGCTACACTATCGATCGGGCAATCGATTGAGAAAACGCAGTTTGATTGCTCCTGTCAAATAAATGATCTTCCATTTTCATGTCAAAAAGTGGGATGGGGGGGCATTGTTTGTTGCCATCTCTCTCTCTCTCTCTCTTTCTCTCTCTCAAACGGTGTCCCTAAAAAGCTACAAGTGAATTAAAGGAAAGACGGGGGACCCCTGACTGTACAGTGTGTTGCTGCTGGTCAGAAAGTACCGGTGTGATTGTGGGGTTTGGGGCATTGGCGTCTGGTTGTTTTAGGGACGGCTGTTGTTCTTCCTA